GCAGTAATGGATTTCTTCTGTCTTCTACCCCAGATAAAGACTAACGGGGGCGAAAGCCTTTTTAAATGAAATAAATATTAAATTGTCATTCGGCGCTGCACTTCCTAGCAGATCCTAGTACTCTATACTTCACACCGAAACGACATCCCCCCTCAATTCCTTCTCCCTAGTCAAAACTCTGGATTTTTTTTAATTTAATCTAATAAATGTCACAAAGGAGATGTTTAGGGTTAATTGAAAGTTGCAAGTTAATTAACTGGGTTAATGTACATATACTGTTCTCTTTTGCCAATTGTTTTACCGTAAAGCTACAATAAAAGATGACATGATGTGTTATAAATGTATATACAACTTAAACACACGGCATTTCCAAAACGTTCAATGGCGGATTTTTCATTTTTAACATGACAACATCATACCACATCACTTGACATTGACTATAATAGTAAACTCGCATATTATTATAATTAATTTGACTTTATTAACTACAAAATAAACAATGTTTGTAGAATACGCGTATACAAAAAATGTTAAAATTAAAAAGAAATGTTGCCAGGACTCACATTTTGAAGGGTATCCCAATTCTTTACAGCGCCTGTGTACAAAGCATGGAACATGATTTCAGTGGCTGACAGCTGATGAGAATGTGCAGCTATTGCAATTACACAGTGAACATGAAAATGTGCTCCGTACAATTTCTAAAGGATTTAATAAGGATTTTTACCCCATCTTGCACTTAATAAGTTGCAAATAAAAGAGTATCACGTTTTTAAACCCATCTTCCAACACTGTTTAATTCTCCATTGGCTGCCAAATTACTTTCTCTTGTCCTTGTCAAATGTGATTGATGCAGAATCAGTCAGCAAGCAAAGAGGAACTTGCTGCAAAGTAAAAATCAATTAGTTCTTTTACATTCCGAATACTGTCACAAATGACTTCTTGTTGTAACTGTTCTAAGACCACTGCTGCCTCTTAAGCATCAGCTGGCAATACTGTAAGTGGTCTCTAATGGCCTCGTATGATTTTAGCTATTCTGAGAGAGAGAGGTCATTATTTTCTGTCAGACCTGCAGATCAATGAGGTGTCATGAAGGTGACCAGCTAGCCCAACACAGTATCTGCAGGTTTCATCTAACCTCAAATAAATTAATGTGTAAATAGAGTTATTCAATCGTTTTTATTTTAACAAAGGTTCTACTGATAATATGATGTGAACAGCTGATCATTGTCAGAGTGCTCATATCTGTAGAACACCTTCAGTTAGATATTAAAGATATAGAAGGTGACTGCAAATTTATATTGGTGACTGACAGAATTACAATATTGAAGATTTTATTTCATGTAAGACTTATTTCAGTGCTGTTTCATGGTAATTAAGAGACAACTTCAGCCTTGCAAAGGATTAATGCTAATCTGGCCACATAAATGTCTGATAGCTATCAAATTAACTAGTTTTCAGATCAGGTTTTGAAGGCCATAGAGTCTTATTCTGATTTTCATTTCAACTGAACCCTAAATTAGATAATTTAGGATAATTGATTTTCCTTTACAACATTTTCATAGAGGACTCATCTGTCTTAGAGCCACATGATGTTGGAACTGTAGAAGTGTTGACAGGACTTTTTTTTGTCAAGTTAACCACAAGATGGGGTTGTCCCTGTTTTAAAATAAAATTGTCTTGTGTTTCAAACAGATTTTGTAGAGTGCATAACAAGATTAGCCACTGCAGAAAACAAAATAAATAACAAACAAAGAAAAGTATTGCTCAGCGAGGGGTAAAACCCAAGAAGGCAGGAAACAAATAGCTATGCTTCAGCTTGTGTACTAGTGAACTTCCATTAAAGTGTTACAGACTTAGAATATAATTCTATACTGTAGTAACTCTCAGGAAAACATAAGAGTCCTTCCACACTATATTTCCATATAGTTGGTTTGCATATTTTGAGTCATTAACTTCTTTTGAGTAAATGTGCGGACAGCACATGCTGTACATGTGACAGGTCAAATATTAAAACAGTATTTATTTTCTGCTTCATCAGCATACTTTACACAGGAACCTGCAGTCCTGCAGTTCTGTGACTTGAAATGGAATTAACTACAGCGGAGTATTGCTTTTTCTGCTGTAGGTAACATGACATAGCAGTCCCCCAGAAGAGGAGCTGGCTTGTAAAGAACCATTTTATTGTGTAGAACTGGCCGTTTCTGCACAACAGTTTCTAACAGTTCCACGTGGGCCTGCTCAATCTTAAATTTCCCTATTAATTCCTGGCCACAGACAAAAATGTAGAATGGGACAAATGCTGTGACATATACAAAAAAGGCAGAGACTTCTGGATATTCAGCTATTTTAAGGAAGAGCAGTTTTAACGCTTTAATAATAAATTATTTATTGAAAGTGTTTTAACATTCTGTCTCATAAGTTGGTTTGCAAAGATCAGTACCATGAATTGTAATAGGCTGGAAAATTGAGATTAAGCAGGAAAAGCATTGAGGCAAATCAAGTACTGTAATTCTAACTTCCCTCCACATACTGTACAGAGGGTTCTAAAGAAGGCCAAGGGCATTATGGAGTGTGCGTTCGCACCCCCTTCACTGTGAATTTACACTCCTCCCAACTGGGAGACGCCATGTTCCCAGTTGTAACAGTAATAGACTCAGGAAATCATTCATCCCCTCTGCAATCACATTCTCAAACACTGTAAATTAACTCTCTTACCTCCTATAACACTGGTGTATGGAAGTACAACAGTATATTTTCCCATCTTTGTCATATTGTGTGGGTCAATGTTGTAAAGCAATTTTCCTTGAGGGGATAATAAGGCTTGAACTGAACTTTTCACCCTCCTGTGACACCCAAGCAAGGTTGGGTGGCACTTCTGTGTATCCCCTCGTATAAATAAAGCACTTTTTGATCCTCTGAAATGCCACATGGAGAAAATCCACAAACATTGGCTGAGTGAACCTCTTGAGGGTGAATAATTTGGGTGCCGTTATTCGAATGTGGTTTTATACTAAGCTGACTGAGATCCCAACACACTATTCACACAGATACGGAGAACTCGTGAGCACCAGCTTTCATTTCAGACTTACCTAATTTTCTCCTGTCAGCTGGTGGAGGGCTTTCTTCCATCTCCACCTTATCTCTTTCCATAGTAATTTTCTGATGCAAAATCACCGCTGAGCATCGCACCCACCAAGGTTCTGTAGAACACTGTGAAAGAAGTCCCTGTACTCCAGTCGAGGGTTCTGGAATGAGAATGTTATCCACTGAGGTTTTTTTTTCAAAAGTTAAGAGAGGAATGATGAGATGTATGCATCTGTACCTTTTTGAAACCTACATAAAGTTTGAAAAGAAATATATAAAATATACGATGTGCGTCTCTTGATCTGAACAGATTCAAATATCCAAGTCTGACAAGTAAATGCAGATAAGGGGTGTGAGTAATGTACTACTGCGATTCCTAAGAAGCTGAGAGGCTAGATATCGTGTGGGAGACTGAAATTGAAATAATATCTGTGCAAGAGTTCATGGATAGGGCTGCTGTAAAATCCAAATCTATCTTCTTTTTTTCTGATTTAAGGGCTTTTAATTTAATACTGAGAGTTCACAAACAGTGATTACAGAGTTTCCAGCAGATAAGATGTGCATCACAAAATCCCCACCCTCACACTATTTCAGGGGATTGCTAAATCAATTTACTGCGGCGGTGGACTGGCCCCATCAGGATCAATACCGCTGCATTCATTTACCAAGCATTGACTTACCAGGACACCTTGATATACCCTTTAGTTTGAGGCGCAGGATGTCTATTTAACCACTATCTGGAATAAATGCAGCACACCTCTCTAGCTGACAATGGAAAGAGTCAAAGGAAAGACTTAACAGTGTCAGTCTACAGTACTGCAAGTCCATTAAAGCTCTTCCTTTAGATCAGGTGTTTCTCCACCCATTCCCAAGGGGTCCTATATTGCAGGTTTCATTCCAAAGTCTTAACAGACTAATTTAACTACCTGTCAGTGTAATGGGAGTAATTTAACAGTTTTTTCAAGCTCTTCAGACGCTGATGATTTAAAGAGACCTGGTATAAAAAACCCTTTAGGACTGAAGCTGAAAACCTCAGCTTTTCATGAAACATTTGACCAGCTAAATGAGTGGTTTCTGATGGACTAAGTGCTGAGCTGTAGAAAAGAAATCAGTAGTAAATTCATCCAATTATTATAGCACAAAGTTAGGACACGTCGTATATACACTTCAAAACCATGTTTGCATCACCTAATATGTTTTAAAAACACTGGTGCTCAGTAAGAAAAAAACACATTTCATGAGAAAAACGGAAGACATTTACTACAAAACAGCTCTTTTTTTTTACATTATAAACCCTGATTAGTATTTATTTCAATTTCTGCTCAGGCATTCTAGTACTTCAGAGGGCCATTACAAGCACCAGACAAACAAAAAGTAAAAAATGTCAGAGTATTCAGACTTTTTATCATGTGTCAAATTACAAAGATGTTTTTTTACAACTGTTAGAAGCTTTTCTGTCAAACTCTGAACTTCATTTCAACGAACATTTATTCATCCACAAGACAGTCACTCCTGGCTTATGCCAACTGCGTTTTTTTGTTCAGTAGTAAACTTGCCTAAAGTGCATCAAAACAAATAAAAACAAAACTGGGAGGATGCAACTGAAACAAAGCACAGCTGTCTGTGCTGCAACAGAATCTTGCAAACAATGCCTGTGTGTTTGGACCCTATATTCACCTAGCCCAGTGGAGAGTGAAATCAGGTGTATCTACTGTAAATCTCAGCCCCCTCACACAAGGGACAACGGAATACCCTTGAAGTTATGAGCTAAGCAATTATCTCAGGCTAATTCTACTTTGCTGCATACAGAATGCCTAAATGGATCTACTGACCTCATAATGGCATCACCGAGAGCAGCATCATACAAAAGGAATTTGGGAAGGACTCGAGGGACCAAAAAGATCACAAAGTGAAAGTGTATTTCAATTTTTTTTTATTTTAATTTTTATCTTAGAAAGTTAATTCTCTTCCGTTCCATTCTCTACATGTAAGGAAGTTATGGCCATTGCCATATGGTACATTAGAGGGATTGGTGGGGCTCATTTTCCAACTTCCGATTACACAGAGGACAGTGTAGCCCATCCTTCAATGAAAGCTGGCTGTGCCAGACGGATTGCTTTGGTTCTTATTAGAGTCACTTTGAGCGGCTGTGCGCAGTGATCTCTGTATTGTCACATGCCAGCAGGGACTGCGATTCCTCAGATGCTTCATCAAGCGGTTTGCCTTCATACTGCTCCTGGGCCATCGCCGCACGGCACTCTTGTTTGAACAACCTATCCTGCTCCAACTTGAGCTCCTGGTAGGACCGGGAGAACATGTGGAAGATGGAGGTGGCAGGAAACGCCATGATTAAAATCCCACTGAGAATGCTGCTCATGGCCACAACCTGACCGGGAATGCTCCGGGGGACCATATCGCCGTAGCCCACCGTCGTCATGGAGATGATGGCCCACCAGTAGGAGGCAGGGATGCTGGTGAAGTCCTGCCCTTTGGTCAGTTCGCTCTCGGCCAGGTACACCAAGGGCGAGAAGAGTGTGACGGCCACGCAGAGGAAGAGCAGCAGCAGGCCGAACTCCCGGGTGCTGCGCCTCACAGTCAGGCCCAGGGTCTGGAGGCCCAGGGAGTGCCTGGCCAGCCGCATGACGTACAGAATTCTCAAGGCACGGAGGATCCGCAGCACCAGCCCCACCTTCTCCAGGTAGCCCTTGCCCCCAGGCTTGTCCTGGGTGTGGTGCTCCTCCTCCACGATCAGAGAGACGTAGTAGGGTAGAATGGCCATGGCGTCTATTATGTTCAGAGGTCCCCGGAGGAACTCCAGCTTACTGCGGGCCTGAACGAAACGCAGGACGAACTCCAAGGAGAACCAGCCAACGCACACGGTCTCCACGATGAACATGTTGTAGCACTTCTGGGAACATTCTCCCTGGGGAGGGCAAAAACAAACGCGGGGCATTAGTGACGCTGTTATTAAAGGTTTCCGAAGCATGTGCTGGGGGCCATATCTGAGACAGGTCAACTGTCTAGAAAGAATCAAATGGCCCCAACCGTCTCTTTATGACCCCTGAAGAAAAAGAACTATGAATCCCCTTGAAAGAAAAAACTATGCTATTGTTTTTTAAACAATGCAAAAGTATTATAATATAATAATAATAATAATAAACTTTATTTTATATAGCGCCTTTAAAGGTGGCTTCTCAAAGCGCTTTACAGGATGACAATAACAATAAATAAGAAGACTACAACAATAAATAAGAAAATTTCACAAGACAGGACACAATTATAATTACAACAATACAACAATAACAATAGAGGAGACCGTGGAAGATGGTATTAAGAAGAGCAGAGGGGTGAAGAATGGAAGCAGTTAAGTAAAGGCTTTTCTGAAAAGGAGGGTTTTGAGTCTGGATTTGAAGGAGTTTAGAGAAGGTGAATTCTCTAAATTATAAATTATGTCAAATTATACTCAATTTGACATGCAGCCTTTACTTCATTCCAGATTTTGTAAAAACACACACACTTTTTCATCTATCCTGTTCCTTGTAGCCAGAAGCCTAAACACTTGTATCTCTCAAAAGTAAGATTACCCCTCCCATACTGGTTTACCCAGGAACAGAGTGCCACAGTCCAAATGACATGAGCATGTTTTACAGATGTGGTCATTTACCCATGTTTTGTTGTTTTTGATATATTAACACATAACCTAAGAATGCAAATGGCACTGGGTAAAGATCCTTAATTTTACATATCAAGCCTACAAAGAGGAGGGGGAGGAGATAGGGCAATCTTTCTCAACAAAGAGCTCCCAGGGGACAAGCTCATAAAAATGCTTCTCCAGTGAGCTAGAAAATTAGCTATCAGGTTGTGATTTGGGGCGATTCCTGAAATTATGGAAAAATACAAAAGGTGTTATTAGATGGAAACGCTTACTTGTCAGCAATATCTTTATCAAGACACTGCGAACTGTACCCTCAACGTAAGGCTTAGTGCAGAAACAACACAACACAACAAAACAAAACAACGTTGCCAATGGCAGCTTTTTCAAGGAAAAGGCTGAAAGATGACGTGAGAGAAACAAACAAAACCCTTGACAACCTCTGGCTCCCTCAGCACAAAGGCAGTCACATGAAGGAAAGACTATACCCTCTGGTGTAGCTCCCAGCAAGGCTGGAAAGCTGCAGCTCAAGGGAGGAAGGCAAAGGGCAAGAACAAGGTATTCCTCTTCCTTTAATTCACGAAATCCAAATAGAATTTGCAGTAAACTGAATTCACTTTTTATACATAATATCAAACAAAAAGACTGGAAAGGAGGTTTTAACTGTAGAGCTGGGAAGTTGAAAAAAAGGACTAATTAGAAAGGGGAGTTAGTCCACCCATTGGACACTCCAGGGGATATGGTGCGTCGTCAAATGGATCAGACAGCAAGCTTGTCTATTATTGGTAAAACAACATTTATTTATTTAGCATTTATGTAATGCTGGTGACTTACAGAACATCCGTCCTTATGAACACAACTGACTTTTTGCAATGTGAAGAATTTTCAAAGTATGATGCAATATCTATCGCAATTTCAGACCCTATACAAGAGGAAGGCATCTGTGCTGCGCTACATACTGTATGTGCTTGCATAAAAAGCTAACTGATCTCCAAATCTCATCCACCAATTAATTTAAGAGATCCAGGGCATAAGGTTCAAAACAACCCTAAGTAGTTTGGTCCAGACTTACCAGTCTTTGTGTAGGAAGTAGTGCTTTCTCTATGTTCAATCAATATAACTAGCTTGAAGACACCATTCACCATTGAAACGGACCATTCCTGTAGAGTCAGTTTCCTTTATTCCGTTCCATTTCGTGGGAGATTCAGCTAAAAACAATTAGCAACTCCTTCTCAATGTAAACAAGCCCCTTTTGTTGTTACAAAACCTTTATAAGACACATCACATGTGGCATTCTATGTTTTCAAATACAGTCATATATCAGCTCACAGTTACTGTTCTCATACTGTACACACTTCTTACAGCACAGCACAATAGCTTCTGTAATCGTATACACATCAAAGGCATGCTATATAACAGCACCACGCACTTTCAAACAGGCCAGGCACTCAGGCTGTCAAACAGAGCAGCTCATGAGTTAACACAAGTCAATCTGTTTGAAGTTTGACTTTAAAATATGAATAATCTTTGGACAACACCACACAGTAAGCAAAACTCCTTTTCAAACTTCTTTGAAGAAGTACCAAGCCATCCAACTGTAGAGTGCAGAATATCATTTTCCTTACGCAAAATCCCAAACATTTCTATTCTGATTTTTTTTTAATGATCTGTTTTGAGTTTTTTACCATGAAGTTCAATACTCAACACTCCAAGGCTGTGCAGCTTGTGGCTCTCTCTATAATTCTTTGCAGACTGAGCAAGGTAGCACAGCGGTTAGCTTTGCTATCATGCAGCAATAGGGCCTATTGCTGGGAAAGGTATCTCTGTGGAGGTTGTATATCCTCCTTGTTTTCCCATAGGTTTCTTCTGTGTGCTCCTGTTTCCTCCCACAGTCCAAAGACATACAGGTAGGCTAATTGGCTTCTGGGAAACCTGGCCCTAGTGTGAGTGTGTGTCAATGCCTGTGTTTGCCCTGTGATAGACTGGTGGTCCTTTCCAGGGTGTATCCTGCCTTGTGCCCAGTGCTTTCAGGACAGGCTTCTGGCCACTGTGGCCAGGAATTATATAACTGTTTTCAATGTGATGTGATGGAATGTAATCAATTTATTCAATTGATTTTAGATTTTTATAGCGTATCGGGCCTATATATATATAATTTGTGCATATATCCATTTAAACTATTTCACTGTATTTGGAAAAAAATCAGAAAGAGATAAAAAGATTTTTATACTTTTAAGCTTTGCTAAAAGGCCACAAAACATTGTGCAATCACACCAATTGGAAAAGTAATGAATGGCTGTTTTTGTGGTAGATGAAGGAGGTAGAAGATCTGCAATAGGCTTTTCTTGTCAGTAATTTCCGTTCATTAGGACTAACAGCCTGATGGATTGGAATGCAGTACAAGTTTCAACATCATTGACCAACTGCTGTGACTTCTAAGCTATCAATTAAATGACCAAAGATTATACTGTAGTCTGGCCTGTGCCATAAAGCCAGGGGAGTTTGACAAGCAATGAAAGGTATAGATCAGCCATTAAATAAGAAAAAGGCAGGATGCAGCTAGCAAAGCTTCTGGAAATTTTTCCCATACACATTCAAATCACATTCAAATATTAGTGCCTTAGATTCTCAAATTTAAAGACATCAGGATCACGACAGCACGACATGGTCAGATCCCAGCCCCAGAGTTTGACTTCTGCAACTGCTGTTTACATGAAAATACATGCAGATTAAACTGCTTCACCTGTTCAATGGCATTAACATAAAATCTTTTTTTATTAAATGTATATTAGAGAATGCCCTTTTATACCGGTTGTACATTCCTATTTAATCTCATGCCTTGCAAAAATAAAACCCTTGATTGCATGCCATAAAAGCTCAGTGTTGTTCAGAGGTTACAAAGTGAGGAGGGGATTTAAACAAAGGGTTGAAAGATGACATTTATGAAACAAAACCCTTCGTAACCTGTAATTCCCAAAGACAGTTATATCACAGTAGACATTAACTGTTCTCAAATAGCAAGCACTGTAAACTAACCACAGCTAAAATACTTGAAATGGTGGCAAAATACAAAAACACAGGACTGAAGCATAGCTTTAGTGTTTAACTACTATAAACAAACTAACTTCACATATCTGTCACTTCATGGAAATGGTGACTATGTCCAGGTGTTGATGAGTTTAGAAAAAAACATTTAATTCAGCCTGCATTGTGATATACAGTACACACCTACAGTACCCAAGATCACTGATGTGAATATGCAAAAGAAACTTTGGAAACTACAGAAGCTACCTATGCAATATCTAGATGCATTATTTTGTAATGGTCAATGGTACACTGGGACAGTATTTTAATGTAAATGGACATGTTCTAGTTATGTAATTAGTCATTTATTCCCATGTTAATTTGATTGTACTGTGCATGTATATGCTTTGGCAACACTTAGTCCAGCATGCCGATAACGATCGCTGAATTGATAAAAAGCACATTGGAGTGTGACATACAGTAGTAGAGAGGCTGATGATAATCAGGTGAGCTGCTTGCTGGGCACACTCTGGACAGTTAGTAACTTCTGCAAATTGCCTTTTCAGTCTGCCCCAGGGGTGGATGCCGGGGCTGAAGTTACTGGCTCCTGCCCCTCTTCCTCAGTCTAATATGATCAGTTTTTACTGTTTGTACATTTGTATGTCCACAGTACAAAAGGCGATGTAATAGTTTGAAAATACCTGCATTTATATTGTTTTCATATGTATTTAATATTTAAAATTTCATTTAGCCCTTTGAAGCGTATGATGACACATATGTGATCATACTGTAAATAGCCTACATAAAACTGGGTAACTTACAAATATAAGCCACTCTTTTATCAACAGGCCTAGTCTGACGCAGGGCTTGAGCCCCTTACAGTGACGTAATACTTTAGGAAGTTTCCTTAAATCTTTCCGTGACAGGAGCCTGGCCCTTAGGCATAGTGGAATTCACCACTACTAAGAGGAGGCGTGGTGAGGTCTGAGAGCTGGGAGGCACTTGTCAAAGCCTGGCAGGGGACAATGGCAATCCTAAAATGAGTCTGAAAGCACCATGTGTTTCATGAATACAGTCCTGACAGATCACCACACAGCTGACACTGTGAATAGACTGTAGACATGAAACAGCTAACAGATGCCTCAAGTGAAATTAAAGATGACATAAATAAGTAAATCATAGCCAAGATGTTGTCTTCACAACATCACATATAGTACAAAATAACTGAATCACAGGCCAAAAAAGATACTAATACATATTTAAACCCAATGCTATTTAAGCCCGACATTTCTAAAACAGTAATGCTGTTCGTGGAAAATGACATCCGTTTATGAACACAGATGGTCAACTTAAATCTGCATGGTTGATCTAAAAGCACTGTGTTGGAGTGGATCCATTAGGCTATATTTTATAATCAGAGATTCTTGATTACTGCTTTTCCTAAAGACACATTTCAATTATTTCTCTATTCACTGTCACATTTACTTATCCACTTAAACTAGAAAAACAGCACAAACTTTAATATTTTTACCTGGTTATATCTGTTTTGGTGTTGTAACATTTAGATTAAAAAATTGGAACCAATAAATTAAAGCAGAAGTCTCTTCTTAATAGCTTCAGCTATTTAGGATCTCTTTTTAGCAGTGTCACTCCCTGCAGAATAATTAGACTGGATGACAGTTCACTTCCTCATGAACAATTCTGAGTAGCTATTCAACCTGCTACACCATGTTTTGGGGAGGAAGCCAGAGTACTGTGGAAAAATTATTTGAATATGAACAATTGAGCACATTCAAATGTCACAAAGAAAGTTGCTTCAGGGTAGTGTCAAACCCAGGACTGGAGAGCTGTGATGCTTGTGATAATCATCACACCACAGGGCTGTAAAGATGAAGACACGAAGAAAAGTACAGACAAGTGCACATGAAATACATTTTGTAATGTTTAATTACGTTTAAAAATATAACAAAAATGTTATATATAAAAAAATGTTTATATATGTGCTACTTGGGTTACAGGATCTCTACTTGAAACCCTCAGCCCTTAACTTTTATTTCCCCGGTTCCTTTACTGTATAGATTTCTCTCTTTCTGGAGAACTAGTGTCTTGTATTGCCATGCATTTTGAATAAAGGAAAGGAAAGCAAATACCTGTGGGACTTACAGTCTGCTCGAAAGATTAGAAATCCCACCAGTGATTATACATTTACTGATTACCTAGAAAACAAGCTTAGTACAGTACATCCAGACAGGCTTTGTAATTTTGGAATTATGATGCTGACATGACATTGAGTTAAAGCATCAGCTTTTAAAAACATGTTTTTTAAAGAGTAATACGGTATTGAAATTATTTAAAGTTTAGAGCAAGGGAGAGAACTATTCCCTTCTCCATTACAGTCAAGCTAAACACCACCAAGTACAAGACCATTATAGATCCCCTGGTTCGGTCACCTTGAGACTTCCCCTGACAGGCTGTTGACAGACTGTAAGAGCACAAACACACTAAAAATGGTGCTTAGCAGGTATGTACCTCAAGTGAAACAGAATGTTTATTCTAATGTGTAGTCCTTCAGCATCAGATCACAAACAATTCAGAGTTCAGTCTGCTTTTTTCATTTGCTTCTGGTCGAATAACAGAAAAAAACGTAATATGTGTATGGATTCATGTTCATGAGAGATAGGGTCGTTATTCAGAATAACTGATTTATCTAAATAAATGATTTATCTAGATTGTTCTGTTGCTAGTACCTAAGGGATAATAGAATCTCATCCATTCAATTGTCAAAAATAGCTAGCTTCAAAAACATTATTCAGAAACAAGCTCTATAGCTTTTTTCATACTCACAAAACCCTTTGTGTAAAAAAGTGCCTCATGTTCCCAGTTTTAAATGGACTTCTATATACTGTATGGAATCTCCCATTTGTATCCTCTGGTTCATGTTTCACTCTTGATTACAGTCATGTCCATTAGTTTGACTATGTCATTGACTGAATACATAAATTGCCGTCTTCCTATGTTCGAGACTAAAATGATTCAGTTGCTTACCTTGTAAAGACACTTCTTTAGGCGTGAAAAAGTATGTGGTCACTCAACTCTACTCTGTACCAATTATTGAGCAGCCAAATCTTTTTGGAAACATGATGAAAATTACGTTGATAATAATTATACTATACTCTAGATTTGGTATGAATAATTGTAATGCAACATTCCATTGTTTTAATTCTGTACTTTAACTACTGTATAAATCCCAAACATTCTGTATGAAATTAATTGTTTTTCCACATTGTCTAGAAGATCTTGTATTCTCCTTGTCTAACGTTGAACATTAAGCTGCAGACAGCATAAAAAACGTAAGTCTTTTTCTTAGGCATTCTGCTAAATCTCAGGTTTTCCCATTTCTAATAAGAATTTATATTTTCACTCCCTTTATGACTTTCTACACCTCATAACATTGTCAAAACTAAATGTCACCTCCCAGGTATTCACACATTCTTCAGTTTTTTAAAATGTCCTTTATTATATATATATAGCTTCCTATAGTGTTTGCTAACCCTCTTAATTTGTATGTGCAAACTTTACTAGTTGATGTGCATTAAGCAGAGTAGTTGTCCTAATACAAATCCTCACAGTACTCCACTAATCACATCTCCCCCATCTGAGCATTCAGCCTTTATCTGTTTACTCTCCATTAATCAGTCTGAAATCCAAATACATGCATTACCTTGAATGCCTACCACCAACAATCTGAAAATGAATCTCTCCAGAGGAATTTTATCAAAAGCCTCGAAAATCTAAATTTACCATGTGTTCTGTCTGTATCCATTACCACTGCTTGTTCAACGAGCTCTAAACTGATACTTAAGCAAGACCTACAGCACCTTTTCTAAATACATGTTAACCTCCCCCCAGAATTCTACTGCCATGTGATGATTCTCTTGCTGAGTACTGATTTCAATTTCCATGACAAAGTAATTTAACCAGAGATTAAAAGATGATTTTTGCTTCCATTACTATATTGACTCCTATGTTTGGCTCACAAACATATTCTGCAGAAATGTTATTCAGATTTAGATGTTATCCCTCCCCATGATATAGTCCAAATTTAACCCCCCCAGTGACTACTGTCTCTACTGGAACCTTAATTATTAGTCTAAAAAAATTTAGGAGCTGTGTTTGCTTTAGGACAATAAGCAAATCAAGCGCTGTGTTAAAATTATGTTATCTGCCCTAACTTTTCAAATTTTCATAGGCTGTCACATACAGTACTGTAGAGTAAGAAGCCACTACTACTGCCAGCCTCCCACACAGCACAGTCCCTGAATCATGGAGGGGAACCTCTGGCCATTTGCAGACTCGGGACATGGAAACATGAATGTTTAAGAGTAGAGACAGGATGCAACTGACTTTGTGTTGCTTAGTCATTCCATTACGTACTTCATCAGCTGTGTTACTGCACAGTTATTTCTTGTACATCTATTCAGAAATACTGAAATGTGCAAAATGAAAATAGGCAAGTATTTAGTCTCCTCTAAACTTCCAGGTCAATTTTCTAATACTTTTCTCATTTTTCTTTTTAAAAGAAGCATAAAATGCATTTTATCTTACATTTTATAGCATCTGAAGCTGCTTCACTGACAAGCTCACTGAACTTCCAGCTGTTCCCAATTCCAGTCTCGGAGGGCCACTGACTACTGGTTTTCATTCTTGCTGAACTCTCAATCTCTGGTGCCAAAGGATGACTTTCTAAATAGTGTAATAATTGTTTGTTTAGACCTTTATTTAACTTTCTTTGCTCTCTCCTGAGTGTAAGAAATGTCCACCTTCAAAGGTACTGTTTCCAGCAGCTTCAACACCCAGAACTTTCCAGTGCCTTAACTTGCTTGTATTTCTCTGAATAGCTCTGACTAGTTGAAGAATTTATGACGAGCAGGAACAAGATTAAATTACACCCACGATGAGTGTTTTTTGACTCTTGCAGAGGTACAGTGGATTACAGACAACATACCTGAATGAAGACAGTTCTGAAACACAAGCGACAGCACAGGGTGGATACGAATTACAAATCAACATTTAACCGCTGGAAGGAAATGTACAAATATGCCCCAGATATAAAATGGAAAATTGGCCGTGATGAGAGCTCAGCTGTAGCAACAACCACAAGACACTGTCCTCCAGGACCAGGGCTGGAAACCACTGGATTATTCTAACAGCTGTCAACATGGTCTTAAATAGTTCTAGAAAAAAGGAAGGAGCTGAAAGTACTGTAAGTATCAGAACTTTAATGATTGGCATTCTTTGCATTCTAAAATGAAATTATAAGATGCTTTATACTGTACAATTCTGCAAGAATTGTGCTTAAACATTAGTTATGTTGAAACAATGGGTCAGAATGGAGAGCTATGGTTTAGTAGTTAAGCTTAAACGTTCTTACCAAGAGGATTGTGGTCCAAACCTTGGCTATACAGGTGACTTGCTGTGTTACTGTGTTAATTAATGAAATCTCTTGCATGCATTTGTTTGGATAAGATGGGGATCCAAGTTCCAGTTGTAAGAAAGAAATAGGGCTGATGCATTGTTCAGCCTCAAGTTCCAGTAAGTCTCCTTGGATGACTCAATTAGCACCACATTTTCCATACAGGATTAAAAAAACAGTATGTAAACAACAGACTACTGCTGTTGAAACGGCAGATAAGTTGTTTATGTGGGTTACAAGTACTACTGAAACACTTTATTTGCCTATAAAATGCATATATAATGATTCAGATAATTTTTATATATAGAGCCCTCAATCCTCCTTTAAAACAATGCAAAGCATGCTTCTGTCCAAGATCGGTATAATCAAAAACATCAACAAAATCAATGACCCAACTAGAACAGCACTGTCCTCCCTGGACCACACCCCTAGTGGCATCACAAACTAAATGGATTTAAAAACAATTTACTGGTACAATGGTATAAAAAATACTGCTAATAAAAATATACTGTTAATAGATTTTGATCTTTTTGTCAATATTGTAATTTAAATTGTAATTAGTAGCATGTGGAAAAACAAACAATACTTTGATGGCACAAGACTTGCTCCAGTGAATATTACTGTGTGCTTGAAGACTTTACTTATTTTGCATGCTCTGAAATCTGAGCTCATCTCTTGTGAGCGCTGAATATGTAAATATTTTCAGAATCTGAATCTCCCTGGAGGGAAAAGGCTTAAGGGGCAGTCCAAACCCAGAGAATCCAAAGAAATGTAATGTGACATTGCACTGTAGCAATAACACTTTTCACAAATACTAAACTCAAGCACTCAATAAACGTAAGAATGTAATTTGCACTAAGTATGAATGCTCTCTTTACATTCGTTAGAGTTAGAAACTTCTCTCAGAGTAAGAACTCATTACATGAGTTCGAAAGCTTTGGTCATCATTATAAATGAGTCACATTAATGCAACTCAACACTTAGGTGTGTGTTTTTTAAGTGCTTTAGCAACGAGCACACAATTTATATTTTGCATACAAATACAACGTAAAGGCACTTTATAGATCACTTTATAGAGCATTTTTAATTGCTTTCTGATAATTATCAAAAGGTTTGAAAAGCCCAGTTTACTATTTTTGTGCACGATTCACTAAAAAATGAAGTCAGGAGAAGGGAGAGAACTACTTAGAGACCAGAACACTACTATCTATCTACTGTGTAGATATAAAAATAAAAACTGTTTTCTACTTTAAAAGATCTCTTTCAATAGGCAACTCCAACTTAATCCTATATAAAGCCATATTTGCATTAATAGTATTCTGCCCCCCCCTATTTATTAGTCACTAACTATTTAAATTATAAGACTTTGGTTCCTACTTGTCCAGGTACTCAATCCAACCAGAATGTTTTTTAAAAAAAATGTCCAAGTGACTGATTAGACTGAATGAACAGCTATTGACTGATAAGCGTTTTTGTTGTGATTGGAAGAGGAATTGAAGGAAAATTTTCAGAAAGAAAAACACTATCATATTCACGACTGAAAGCAAAATCACTTTTACTAAAAAAAAATGTTATAGAGATTTCTAATAGAGATTCAATTATACCTGTCTGCAATGGTGATGTGGATTAAGAAATATGATCATGTACAAAAATTTATATTTTTAAAGATGTGCTCCAGATTAATTTCCAAAGTACAATAGGGTGCTGTTTGAATCTCAATGGGGTATTAAGGGAAAGACACAGGTGTAAGGAATATTTCAAAATATGAACAGGCAAAGTTAAATTAGTGACACCAGGTGGTATCCGTAACTAATACCTAGGCTTTTAATTTGACATGTAACATTAATTCTCAGTGATCATACAGTAGCTTTGTTAGGCACTTTCACTGAAAGTAACCGAGCATTTAATGGATAAAAATAGACTGAAATCAGAGTATTATGTCCTTAAAAACATCTCAAACATTTTTGTTGAAGGAACAAAGCATGCATCTTTGGCTATAAATGTACAGACAAGCTGAAGGTTTATTTGAAAAGTTCTTAAAATCCAAGGTCTCAGAATAGCATCCCTGCTATCATTTAACAGTCTATTTTTAGTTCATCTTTAATATATAAAGGCCACTTATTTCCACAGAAATGCTCTAGCAGTTATGTATTCCAGGTTAGTCCTTTCCCAAACATGATAGAAGAACATAAAAATTGGGAATTAAAATACATTTGATTTTTGTTCAAGTACAGCCACTAGAAATGCACGTATAGTGTATGTGCAGAAATGAAGGTCCATGGCAGAAGTATATTTGTTTTTTTGTTATGTGCTGAAGGCTTCTGAAACATATTTTGTGTGTTCCTGCATTTTGCTGATTTTATAAGAATAAAGATGTTTCCGCTACTTTTCTTTCATTATTACCCTGCCCACTCCTCCTATTACAAAATGAAAATGCAGTCGCCTGTAATTTGTTGATTCAGTATAACGTCTATGGATGATTATATACCCAGGTGAATGCCTTTAAATTATGTATGGACCCTTAATGTAAATTGTATTGGAAAGAAAAGCCTGCCAGGGATTGTGTGCGGTCCCAAAAGAACGAGAATGTTTTACACCTCTCATTGAGCGCGTTTATCAACAGCTATGACAGTCTTTCAGTATTTAATAATAGTCCTATTCTTTAACTTTCTGAAAAGAAATGACAGCAATTTAGACATTTCTCATGCTCTAATGTCTCAGATCAGTGACTGTTATGAGCAGTGAAACCTAATTTTTTGTCTGTACAATTTATGCCGCATGAAAAAACAGAAGATGACTGCAGCATATTTCCACACAGTGTGTTTGTATATGGGCCAATGTGCATTAGATTCAGAACCAACATAAAAAAACAAAATTCAGTCTGATACGATGACTGTTCTTAAAAATCAATGAATCTAAACAGTATATAAAGTTATGCTATAATATCTTCAAAAAAAACAAAATGATTATTTTTTCTGTTAACTCCAAGACTCATTAAAGGGTTAACATTTCAGAGCACAAAATAAGACAACTGCTAGGGAAGGCTAAAAATGTGGCACAACCAGGAAGAGTACTTGTCCGGAGCTCAGACATTAACTGTGTCATTAGCCAGCTGTGACTGGGATTCCCAAAGCAGCTGTGTACATCTGGGCGGGTTCCATGTGGGAGGGTGGGCTGAGCTTGGGGGTCAGTTTGACCCTGTGATTTGAAGTGAGAGCTGCATCACTCCTCCAGTTCATGTTGACTCTACTGCAGGCACTTCGGAACTCAAAGGTGCAAAACACAAAAGGTGTATCTACAGCATGTTTCAGAGAAAACCCTACACAGGTCTTAAACTGACCACTACTCCATGATGTCTCAAGGCTGGTAGCTGGTGACTCCAAGTTGAAGGATATACGGTATAAAAACAAAATAATTGTTTCAAGACTTCCACACCATCTCACTATTAAAAGACTTGACACAAAACCTGGAAAGAAATACTCGACAGGGCTGGAGATCAGCACTCATGCCCAGTTTAGTTGGGATGGTCACAAAAACTTCAGAAATAGCTTGTACTCAGCTGTCATAGCTCTTCTATTCACTTTGCATTTAACAGATAAAGAGCCCAATGACCACCTCCTCCCTGATCCCTCTGCAATATCCAACAGCCTCTTAATATATTCAAAACAAAACGAGACTTACCAGCATGGCTATGGGGTTTGGAGAGAGTCTAAAAGTGCAAACACAGCTAATATTCAAATTATCCATAAAGTCAGTCAAGTAAAAGCCATATCTACCATGGATATATATACACAGGATCCAGCACTTCTTCCAAGTGTTACAAGTGATGTGCTTTGCTTATACTGTAGAGAGCATAAAAAATTCACTGTTGACCATGCTATGGAGCCTCTGAGCATTAGATTTTTAATAACTATTTCTTTCATATACTAGAGTAGTGATTTATGGGCATTTTATGGGAGAGAACTAATGGAACTATTTAGAGAGCAACAAGACATTAAGTCTAAAGACAAATCTGAAAAGCTGCAGATGTCAATTTAGGACTTTATCAAAAAGTCTTAAACAAACCATGGATAAGGCAGACACATGGCGATTGAAATTAAGATCAGTACGTGCAAAGTAATCCACACTGTAGGAACATACACTATACATATCGTTTGGGCGATTCAGAGCTGCAGGACAAGGCATATGAGAGCCATCTGAGTGTTTATGAAGATTTATCTGCCCTCAGCACACCAACCTGTGGAAACTATTAACTATTATTCAGTGGTTTGGTTAGATTTGAATAAGTACGCGAGAGAGACAAGATATGCAGAGCATATCTGGCCAGGTGGGGTGGCGGGAGGGGTATGAGAGAGGAGTGCTACAGGAAGTCCTGGGTACGAATCTACAGGACACACAGTGCGTAGGCAAGTGGAAACATGCACGATTAGGATCCATCCTTTCTCCTGAAGTTTTTATTATAATTTCCGTTATAATTCCATTAAAGAGAATGCTCGGATATATACTGTAGCAAACAGCGGAATTTAAATCTAAGAAACTTATACTTGAGTTTTACAAGGTGATAATAAGATAACACTTAGAATATTCTGCTCAGTTATAGTCATCACACCATAAAAACGATCGAAATTATAGAGCCTTATAAAGAGTTAAAAAAGGAGCAACAAGAACAATTTCTAGCCTCCCTTTACCAGTCTGCCTTTGAGACACTTCACAGATACAGACACTTACAGATAGGTTAAGGAAGCTAAATTTCTTCAGTCTAGAATAAAGCAGATTGAGAGGGAGATTGTATTCAAGTATACAAGATACTTAGGCATATGGATAAGACACAACCAGGGAGCTATTTCACAGTCAGTAGAAAAACAAAGGCTTGCAAGTGCAAACTAAAAGGGAATTCATTGAGGAGAGAGAATAAGAAACAATTCTTTCAAAACATGTGCTATGAGTACCAGTAACAGGCTCCCAGCCAGGTGCTTGATGCCCATCTGGATTCAATTTTGGTTTCATTGAGCTACCAAACAAGCAAAACGGGCCAAATGGCCTTCTCTCATTTGCACCTTTTTCTATTCTTTTTTTTTCAGTAACAAAGTATTACCACAGCTCAATTAAATTTGAATGTGGCATGAGTGAAAACAAACAGCAGAGGAAATAGTTTTAATTATAAGAACTGAATAACAACAAACAATATTGTCATAGTTTGCCTTGTCAGCAGCGCATAAACCGTAGCTATACCAATGAGTTATTCTCTAAATACATGCAAAACATTGCCAATAATTTCTTCTTTGACCGGATCTCCTCGGCCTTGTGAACAAACCCATATTGCACTGTTTGAAGATTACACCTCGCTAATCATCACTTGACAGAACAGTCAACTGAAACTGGATTTTAAAACATCAGCCAGCAAAGAATGAATATGACGGTTTCCATTTACAGATTTTTAAATTCACTGCATTGTTTGCAGGTGTGTTTGCAATAGCAATGCTTACACTACAGATCTTTCGAAAATTGAAAGGCAAACACATTATCATTCTCATTACCTACAGGTTAATCACTCGGTTTACAATTCATATCGAACGAAATCACTCAACTTTCAGTACAGATTTTGGATGGTATTACTCTACCTTGTATTTGTACTTTAAACTTTATTTTATGAGCTATGATTTTTCTGGACATATCTTTATTTGAGGAAGCACTGTGCACTCACCCGGTCTTCCTCTTCCCGTAAGTCTGGCATTGTGCTGATACAGAGGCTGATGACTGTGACAGCTACGAAAAGCATGGAGAGGCAGGCAAAGACTTTCCCTGGGAGTCCAGACTGGGGGTTGTCCACCATGTCCCTCAGCTTGCTCATGAAGGCATGATACTTGGTGTCCTCCACCGGCACAGTCTCGGTCTTCTTGCAGCTCCATGCCTCCTCCTTTTGCTCCATCTCAGCCACGTCCTCCAGCCGGGTGTAGAGCTTCCTCTTGCAGCAGCGCTCCATGTGGCTCACCTCCAGGCCCCAGTAGGTCAGCTCCTCGTAGAAGGACAAGGCACACATCTCCCGAATCAGCCTCAGCTTGCCCGCTGCCAGGAAGTTCAGGATCACCCGGAAGGCCGAGGGGCTCCGGTCGAAGAAGAACTCGTTGGAGATCTCATCGTAGTCGTCGCAGACCTGCACGATCTCGTCGTAGCTGCTGCAGAAGCGCAGCCGCCCGAGCCGGGTGAGGGGGAACTCTTCCAAAGTGCTCCAAGGAATGGTGTAGCGGTTCCCTCCAACGTTGATGATGACCTGGTGCTTCTGGTCCACAGCATACAGCTGCTCTGGCCGGTAGATCCTCCTCACCCGTTGGTAGTAGACCCCCTTGATGGTCTCAGTTTCAGGGGTGCATGTGAAGATCTGGTCCAGGCTGCTGTCATCACTAAGGCTTAAGTTGCTGTAGTCCTGGTCAGCTGTTCCAGAAATGATGGGCATGGTGGCATGGACGCTCAGCAAAGGCAGGCAGAGGGGCCAGGGCAGGCGACCGGATGCTTTGGGACGAGATTGAAGGATGGCAAGAAGAAAGCTTCGTGAACCCAGGAATTAAAATTCCTTGCAGGTTTATTTTGTTTAAAACTCTTAATTAGAGCATACAGAGCAAATTCTAGAGTGACTAAAGTGACATTCATCAACACACGGTTAATAACAGTCTGAGTACAAGGACTTTCGATCAAACCTCTTTCAATACTGTTTTATAAACAAAATAGTGTAATTAATCTTAGCCACGCTGAAGCTACACTGTACATGACAAGGCCTATAAGAAGGCATCTTTATCACTATACAGTTCCTGTAAGAGTTTGTATTCTGTTTAGAAAAAAAAACACATTTTATTTCTGCAAAAGAAGGAAGTCCTACATTATTATTCAGGATTAAAGTAAGAGTTCCACTGAAAAAAAGCTGGAGACATTGCATGCTTTATAAACCTCAGTCTCATGTGTAAAATAACGACACCACCCACTGGATACTTCATGATTGTTCACTTATTCCAAGCAATTTTTGACTGGATAGACACACAGTATAGAAAATACGTGCAAGGTGTGAATCCGAGTTTTGTAGGAATTGTGCACTGATGAAGACATGAGCCTGCAATGCAGCCTGAAGTTAATCAGAGCGTTGCAAGCAACGAAAGACTTAATATGGTTCCCTGCCCATTCATTTACCTGGCGAAGAGCCTACCCACAAAGGAATATCAATTATCACACATAGTAAACAGAGGACGGAAAGACAACTCTCACATGATGGAAATCAGCCGACTGTAATTAAACTCAAAAGCAATGTGCTGTAGGACAGTACACAGACCACGTGAAACACTCATCTAACTAGGTCTGTGGGTAACGAACGCAGTTTATTTTAAGGTAGTCCTATACATCGCTATGATATAGAAGGCACGCTGGTTTTGTACATTAATATATCATCATAGGATATTCTGACTGCAGTGCAGACAGTGTTAGGGGGTGGTTGGAAATTTTCAACTCACAAATGTTGTTAGATCTTCAACAACTTTACATACAAAGCGCTTACTTTCATTTGGAAATTAAATTCAAATGTTTTCTGTTCAAATCCGTAAACATTACAAAACAGTTGGCTACGCTTTCATATGTTAATTGCGATAACGGTATATACTGTACATATTAATTGCGACAACTTTTTCTTCAAATATGAGTTTAATCCGGTTAACAATAATGCACTTTAACAGTCCTACAGTATATTGATTTCATATGACTCATGTTGTGAACCCACCTCGCCCAGATGGAATACAAGTTACCGACTCCGTATGAGTACATACTGTACGGCTCAGCTGAAGTACTGTACATTACCGACGAAACAGACACAAGATTTGAAATTGTTACAAACTAGCAGTCTACGAAAGAAAATGTTGTTACAATTACAAAGAAAACTACACAGAATACTACGTGCGCCACAGTACGTGGATGCAAAATAAAGTTTGCGCTTACCATATCTAGGGGACCCGGCTTCAATTCAATAAAACTGTTCCGTCGTTTCCTTAAAAGCGAACAACAGGGTGTTCCTTCATTTTTTGTGTGTCATAACAACACGTCCTGGCATGAGCATATAGTCCATCATTTTGGAGCTGCAACCCAAGTGCCTGCAAATGAAATCGCTGTTCCGATTTGAGCAATAAACTCGTAGGTTTCGCTAAAATCTCCTCCCAGGTCTGTAGCGAAAGTGTCCCATTTCGTCTAAGCGCTGCGAGGAGTGCCGCAGCTCTGCGCTCTGTCAGGAGACTTGTGGAGAGGCAAGGTGTTGTGTGAGCGTTTCTTTTCCCTCTTTTGAGATAAAGACAGCGTGCCCGTTTACTCTTGTACTACTACGGAAAGTAAATTAAGTAAAATGCCAAAGCGATTCTGTTTACGGCGTTCAGATCTTTCTGTCCGTGTTCACTACTGATATTAAACTAAAAGCGACTCTCCCAACTCCAGCCAAGTCCTTTCTCAGCCGTGCGCTTGTGCCGCAAACCCACCGGGATCTGATGTTATCCCGTCGTGAGCAGCCGGCGGACCGGACCACACTCAAATCGTTTCCAAGGTGTTCGTTTACATGAACCAAGAAACTTGTTTTTCTTTTCTTTCTCTGTAATTTCTTGTTTTCAAACATAAGGCGTGTCTTTTCAGGTTTTTATACGTTTCAGGATAAGTTTGTGAGCTTACACTATTACAGTAGCAATGTATCCTTTTAATAGTATGTTTTGCGACTAAATTTTGTTTTGTAGTTCAGAGATGGCAGAATTTACTGCGTATGAAATGTATGTCCAATCTTTCATAAAAGTAACCTATATACATATATTTTAAAAGTTAAACATTTAACTATAGATTTTGAATAATCTTTTACCTTTTTAAATGATAACTGCTTTTGTTCAAGATTAAAAGTTTTTTTTTTAAAAGCCTTTGGCTTAAAGACAGAAGTCTTTTAAAATAATGTCACGATTTATAATAGCTGTTACCTTCTATAGCTTTTTTGTGGTTATGTGAATGACCTTTGTACACAGAAGTAGACATTAATGTAATTTCTTGCAACCCGAAAGGTCCTGCTTTTGTTATGAAATAAGGCCGTCTGGAATGCTGTTTAAGAGAGAAAAAAAAACAGAATATATAGAACTTGCATATAGAACCAGGGAAATTGTATTAAATAGGAAATAAAAATACTGAATCCTTCAGAATCATATTGTCATGGAAACTAGTACCACTGACATTTTTACTATTAAATAAATAGTAAACAAATCCTGATAAACATGAAAGCACATACTGTATCACAGCAGAGGATGTTGTTCCTGAAAACTAATGTTCTGGCATAACCCTGTACAGTACCTTGAGCAGTCTTTACACATATTTTGATGAATTGTCACACCTCAAGAAGGCTCCACGGGCGAAACGTTGTGTTTTCTTTCTTCTCTTTTCAGCATGGAGTAAACCAACAGTATTATTTGTTGCTTTGCAGCTTACACATGCTGACGCAGCTACCCACCTGAACTATATATAATGTATATAGATATTAATGCACATTACATGGAATAAAGTCTAAATATGTGCTGTACAAATATTTAAGCATATAAGAATTGTACAGCTTATGTGACTTTTCACTTGTAAACAAAATGTTTAAGCACAATCATTTTGTTGCACAGATACTGAACACGTCTGTAAAATGGATGTATAATTCTCAGGAGCTTGGCTTTGAAAGTGAAAAATATTTGAAAGTAAAAAAGCTGTAATGAACACAGTAAGCCATTCAAAGTGGGAAATGTCAAAATGGGGAGGTATTTTTGTGGAATATTAATATTTGCATGTTCTTCCATGTGATGTTTATGTGATTGGCAAGAATGTGTAGGTGACCAAAATTATGTAAGCTCATTGCAAACTGATTTTATTTTCTTACATACTGATAGTGATATCATACTATACCAATATTTACTGTACAACTCGCTAATAGAGTTCACCTACTATCTTATTGCATGTCTTTCCCCAATTATCCTACCACATATTGCTAGAATGGATCATGTAATCGAAATGTCACTTTGCTGATAAAAATTGACACATCAGTAATTTCCTGTATGCCCTATTATAAACAGACCTTTGATATGGTTCTCATTTAAAGATATAGCTATATATAAAAGAAACATTGATTAACTAATCCCCAACGTTCTGCACACTGCTGAGGCAAACAGCCTTTGTTACTTTAGAATGTTTTAGATTACTTTGCGCTTTAGAAAGTTTGTAATAGTTTATGAAGTGGAATCACGTCTGCTTCCGACAAGAAGAAAAATCATCTCAGGTAAAACAAAAACAGTGCTGATCCAATTTTGTGACAGTTCATATAGCTTCAAAATCCCTGGTCTTCTGCTTTTAAAAAGTGGATTATCTATGGAAGAAGAACAGGTGGCCACCGCAGCCTGTCTGCAATACAAGTCGACTGCAGTCTACAAATCCAATTCCCTTTCTCATTTAGCAGCATGGCAACAAAACCCTTTGTAAATAAAAACTTAATCAAAGCTTTTAAACTAGCCACACTATCAAATCATGGCCAGCAAATATAAACACCCAAGTTAAAAAAAAAACAGACGATGAATTATGGAAGATCTCTAATGTTTAGCAGCTTTGAATAAAGACTATGAAGATCAGATAATTTGGTGGTCTTGAGATAATGAATAATATATGTATCTCACGCAACACATTAATTCTTAGGGCAAGGGCCACTAATGCAATCTGTTGCTGGAAAGTTTATGACAGATTTAGTCTGGATCAAGTTTATCACACCAAAAGGTGTGAAGAGGACACTACCCAGAAAAGTATGATGTACTATACATACTGTAGCTTAAGTGAACATTAACCAAAATTAAAATACAACAATCAGAATCATCCACTAATTTTACAATTTACAGCTCTGAGTGGATTTTGTGCAAACTAGCTGTTTTTGTCTGGAACTGAACTTTGTATTTCTAATTTTTGAATGATCTTCAAAGTGGTTTTGGTTAAAGGTTGAAAATGAGGTTAAATACAGTAGATGAATTTGTACAAAGCAGAGAATTCGTCTCCATTTAGACATCACAAGTAGGCATTCTCAGCAGCATTTCTATATTTCGAGACTCATTTGCATGTGATCAGAAACAGATTGCACTCGTTCTGTTCCTCCTGGAAAAAAAGTGACGTTTTAGCAGATACAAGACACTGACATTCTGCTGCCATCACATCACTCATGTTTGACTCAGGAAAAACACGGATTAAGTGTTCTGATGCTTGACTTTCATGTCAAGGTAGCTTTGTATTTTTTCATGTAGACTCTAATTAATACTACCATACAGTTTCCTAAGAAATTCCGTTTTACATATAAATTGTACATGTCTCTCTACCACAACAGTTAATTTATCGTAATTCTCATTATTTAATCTTCTCATAGTTTTTTATTTATTAGCTGGCAGAAGGAAAGGATTCCATGTCTTTTCTGTATTTTAGCCAATCATACATGAGACGAATTACATCCGTACATGTTTGAGAGAGAGATATAAAATGCACTCAAAAAGTAGCAAGCATACAGTACATAAAGTGACTTTATAGATGGCAGAGACAATCTGAAGCATTTGTAAAGAAAGATGTCTTTTATTATGACACGATTAAAGCTCCTATTACAAGATGGGTGCTTATCTAATTTAAACACCCAGTTAATTCAGATGTGTGAATGCTTTAGTCCGTGAAATGTATGATTCTGTTTTTATAACATTGTTTTACAGATTTCTTTTACAAAAAGGGGATATGGGTCTCCATTATGTTACATACTTCCTTTTCAGCTCTTACAGGACAGGAGGCCTAGTTTTCTTTAACTCTGGCTATGGTAAGAGATTACACTTGCAACCTGACGAAATAAACAGCAAAGCTCACACCAGAAACAAAGTAAGTAGAGCTGTCTTCCAAAATCTTCTTATGGAATTTGTTTAGTGAAAAATCTTTTTTTGCACTGAAAAACTATGATACAGTTTTCCTGGTTTCATTTTTTAACTTACTTCATTTCAAATGGTAATATCTAAGTTAAACTAGCAGTATGTCACTTTCAGATTTTGCTGACACAGACCACAAAGCCCACTGAAACACGATATGTGTGGAGTTTTCTGACATAACTCCTTGAATTACCTTGAACTTGGCTGTTTTTCTCGGAGCAATTAGGCGTTAAGCCAAAACTAGACATTGGTGTAATATTTTTTTCCCATAAACCTTTGAAATGACAAAGTGAGAATCTGAATCTACTTCAAAAACTGGCAGCATACCAATATGAAAACATAGATGTGTTCCTGTCTTACATAAATCTAAGAGTTTTTTCAAGAGGAACTATGTACTGTACTTGCTTATTAATGAGAAAACAGTGAGAGTCTCGTGCTTTCATACACTGTTTGAAGGTATATTTCCACCAGCCTGCAATAAATTAACCTTAAACAACAAAATGCACATTGACTATAAAGGGTGAAACATACTGTAGACTAGATGAAGAACGGTGGATACAAAAGAATGTGTACGAACTGGACAAATGTTTTGCTACCATAGGATCAATAGGACATTTCAGTTTACAGAGTTTGCTGGATAGAAGATGGCGCCTTGTTTAAAACATGCTTTTTCCAAGCTAATAGAATAGCACTCATTACTCTCTCTCTCTCTCTATCGCTCCTTCTTTCTGCCATCTAATGTTCCATGTAATGCTACTGAGACACCTTTCTGATAACCTGACACTGCTGTTCCTGGGCTGCCAGTGCATTCATTTGCACCGAATGTCTAGTCTTTCCAGTCCGGGCAGTGTTGTCTGTCATCGATTATCAGCTTGTGTTCCTGGTAGGCCTCTCTCCAGTGCCATCACACCACCTCTCAGCTGGATGGAAACAGCACAGCGACGGTGTCTCTCCTGGCTCAGGCAAGCGCAAGCCGTGCCATTGTTTGCTGCCTTCAGCGTATCATTTACAGTACCTGTGTTTTCAGTAATTCTCTAATTGTGTTTTCGTTCCGCTCAGCCTGACAGCTATCGTTTTCACTTGGGCTTGAGAAATTAAGGCAAAGTACCATCACCTCAGCATGGTAACATTAAAAGTTTGTGCTGGGCTGCTAAAACCATCATTCTTTCAAATGCCTGCATACAATACAGTATTTCCTGAAGGGCTTGGTTTTTAATGTGCCTTTCAAGCCTTTCTTAGATCATGTGAGAAATCAGTTTGGCAATTTTAGCTGATCCCCTGTGCGTGTAACCTCACATTACATTGAACCATGTACGGTAAGTTATTGCATTTGCATAATTTTAATTTATTTACAATGCATCATATTTTGTTGATGCTAGCTGTCAGCTGTCAATCATTTTTTGTTAAAGATACTTGTCAAAAATAATAGATAAAATAGTCATAATATTCCACAACTCCATTGCACGCTTATTACATTAGTCCAGTTTCTCAGTCAGTGTATAAATGAATAAAGCTAAATGGCTGAAACTGTACTGGTGATTTTTTAGAAGAGCATCTCTTGACCTTGTTG